CAGAGAGAGAGAGAGAGAGAGAGAGAGAAAGAGAGAGAGAGAGAGAGTGTGTGTTCATAATATAAGAGTGCAAAATTGCAGGGGTTTTTTGTAGCCTTCACCAGCAACGTCCCAGCTCCAAACCCCCATATACACATATATGTGAGGCAGCGTGGTGGAATCAGGCTCTCGTCAAAATAATCAAAGTGAAGAAACTTGCATTTTTCCCCAGGTTTGTGAATTTTTATTTAAAAAAAATTTTGGCTCAACATCTTTCATGCCCTTTAAACAAATCATTTATGTGTGGATTTTTCTGAAAAAAACGTTAATTAAAAGCACAAAAAATTTAAATTTTCAGTTACCACAGACTCTTATGCTAAGGAAATAACTTTAGTCTTTGGCGGCCATTTTCTCACTAATTTTCCCTGAAAACAAGTGATCCCCACCTCCTTCATTTGCAAATCTCTCGACTTGTATTCAAGATAAATGGATATTTTTTTCATCCAAATAAAGACAAATGAACAAGCTTTAAGATGATACCAATAACTCTACATGCCCAAAAATTAACGAGAGCCTGATTCCACCACGATGCCTCACATTATAATTTGAACCAGTCAAACTTTTTCGTAATGACAAAGCAAGAGTGTGATTGAGATCATTAGATGTAAACAGCATATGTGATAGGAATAATATTCACATTCCACCTAACACTGCATCCTTGAATGTCTGTACATTCGTAATACTCTGCCTTGGAAAGGTTTAATTCGTTTTGTACAGCGTTCATTTTCTTTGGAAAGGAGCACACTTTTCTTTTACACTTTCTTGGAATGGTTACATTTGCATTACACTTTCTCTCATTTTGTTGGAAAGGTTACACGTGTATTACTCTTTCTCTGTAAGTTTACATTTGTATTACACTTTCTTGGAAACGCTATATTTGTTTTACACTTTCTTGGAAATATAACATTTGTATTATGCTTTCTCGGAAAAGTTTAATGTATAATAATTTATATAATTAACGACAGTCTTGATCTTTTGGGAGGCTGGCCGCTTCGACGACCCTGCCTGCCTGCCTGCCTGCCACATCCAGGCTGAGTGAGGAAAACATCCAAGCAGACAAACAGAGATCTTCAATGTTATAATATTATTTTCACATCCGGTAATCGAACTCACGTCTTCTACGAGTATCAGCGATCATAGAGCCTAATCACAACACAACATACTCCGAGTATCTTTGTACCGAAAACTTTTAAACATAATGATACCGACAAACCGCGATACAAAAAGTGCTCAATTGCCCTGTGACGTAACTACCATCCTAATGACGTAAAACTCCAACAAGAAAAGTCACAGGACATGGCGCGAAAGGAATAGGAAAATCTACAACTTGAGTCTTGTCTTGCGCTGACTGGTTGGCTTGGCTACGTAAGGGGAGGCAAGTCGTCGCTCGCAGGCATAGACGCGGGGTAACTCTGACTAGCGATAACATGAGCAAGAGCTCATTACCAGTCATGACGACAATAAATATGTAAATGAGATGCGGCAGAGCCGGAACAGCGCGGTCAGTAAACACACAGAGAGACGACCCGGGCCTGACCAAGGTTCGCCGATTATCTCCCGTATCTTTGCTCTCTGCTTATCTCTTCATCTCCTACTCCTCTCTCTCTCT